TTAACTGACGAACCGTATAGTTTTTTTTAATCATTGTAATTGGCCAACTTAAAATGACTATATTACATATACTCATATAGTATATTTTTTATACTTTTATAACTTGTTTACTATAATTTATTTGTTTATTTATTTTTATTTGGAACCAATTATCTTTTCTGCATCTGGTTGCACTTAACATTAAAGCAATGATTACCATAGTATTCCTTACAAGATATAAGTACAAGAGGAACTTTAATAGTGTTGGTATCTCATTAAACTCAATATGTTTTTGAGGAAACCAAACTAAATATTTCGGAATAAGACCATGAAAATGACCCATGGATGAACTTTGGTGAAAAAGTTAGCAAGTTGAATAGTTTAAGATATAGAAAGTACGTTGACAATGATCTCAATATGTTTTTTTTTATGAATGGGTGATCTGAATTCTCCCCAGGAGTTATAGGATTATTTCTTTTTAAAGATATAAGCATAAGGAAAGTTACTATCTATTTATGTAGGTCATTATATTTTCTTTATTTTAAGAACGTGGAAAGATAATCCTTTATATTCCATTGAAATTGCACTCCCCTCTCCTACCCTTCATTGATTATACATATATTTGTTGTGTGTGTGTAGTTTTCTTATAAGGCTTTGTACTTAATCTCTTCTATTTATTCAATATATACGTCTACTTTCTCCATGGTTGGTTAATTTCTACAGCAAGTAGTATCAAAACCATTCCCCTTTGAACATATAAAGGCTTAAGTTGTCTTCGAATAGGGTTCAATTGATTTTTTCTAGACCTACAAAATTATTAATTTCTGTAAGGTTCTACTGATAGTCCTATTGGCCTAACTCCGTCCATCACTAAAAGGGTTGCAGTGTGGGGGGAAATCTCCTACATGCACTTGTTCCTTGCGAACTTCCAGGTTGATATCAATAGCTTCATTGTCTTTCATGATAACAAGTGGAAAGGGTTGGACATACTATCGAAGAAAGATTTACTGTCAAGACTCTTAACAACATTATATATTGCAAAACACTAGAAGAAAACTACATTGAAACTTTTTGGAACCGGATTGTTCCGGGTAAGGCCAATATCCTCATTTGGAGAACGCATCTTAGAAGACTACCGACCAAAACAAATTTTCACAGAATTAGAGTTTCTATAAACAAAATATGTTATCCATTATGTAACAGTAAAGAAGAGACATAAGAATACCTTTTTCCGGAGTGCTCAAAATGTAAAGAAGTTAGAGCTATTCTTCAAATGTGGTGGGACAAAATAACTTTCATGATTGGCTCATTGGATGACCTTTTCCTATTTCATGACACTTGGACAATGCCAAAAAAAAGGTCAAAGTTGTTTCTGTTGTGCTTATTGCTTTTCCATGGACTATATGGAGATACCGAAATGAATTACCTTTAACAACATTGTGAAGAGAAGCCCAAGCTTAGCAAGTGAGGTGAAATGTGTACAATTGGTTAAAAGTAAGGTATAAGAAAGGTGCTTCTATGACTTGGAAAAATTTGTGTATTTGTCCCACAAGTAAATGTTTGCTCCATCCTCTTGCTAGCTTCATTCAATAAAAAATCTCTTCTTGTTCGAATAAATAAATAAATAAAAGATTATACTTGATGTTTTTAACTTGTCAATGTGATATTTAATATTAGCCTCAATAAAATACGACCATCCACTCTTATTAGACCAAGATACAAGTTCCACGTTATGGCCATTCAAGATGTGAGCTTTATTAACTCAAGAAGATTATGATTATACGTTAGGTGCATTTTAAAAGAAAATACAGAATGAACGAACTGTGGACGAGAACAAGAAAGGTCATAAATCTCTAGCTCAATTTCAACTTGATATAAATATTCTACAAGAGGTTCTAAAGGAAAAGGCTGCAACTACCCTTTCTCATAAACTGGAAGACATATCCAAATGTTTCAAGGTTTAGAACAAAGTAAAGAAGAATGGATCAAACAAATCAAAAGGTAAAGAAGAGGATAGTTATGAAAAACATACCGACAATTTATTTTCCTTCGGAAATCGATCGGTAATGAATATCACCGACGGAATACTGATGGATTATTTCGTTGGCATTTCTTGTTTTTCTAGTAGTGTGTCATTATGATAACGATTGAATTGAGAAGAGAAACGGGTGTATATTGGTCTTTTCCACTAAGATCACATGTTCAGCCACACCTGCAAATTGTCAATCACTACTTCTCTTTGCCTTGTAATTTTGAAAATCATTGGTACGCAAGATCTCCCTAAATTTTGAAAATCCAAAGGTACCTCTATCCTTTTCGAGAGCTTCTACTGAATAAGATGGTGTCAAGATAATGCATTGTTGACTTGGTGACTTGGTCACTTGAGTGAACTCCTTAAACAAGGATGGTCTTCTTCAACGTAATATCAAATGGACACTAGAGTTGTAGAATTAATATTTTAGCAATATAAGAGGTACACTAAAAGGAATTCTCAAATATTCTTATTTAGAAATATTGCCATTGAGAACTATGTTTTTCACACCATCTAATTTGTTTTTCAATTCTTAGCGGATGTAATGGCAAGTAGCCTACACATATATGTGATTGATGAAACACTAGTAAAAGAAACTTGACAATCAATATCATAATCTTGATTAAAGTCTTTAACAACTGGTAATGCTTTTTATGTATAAATGATTAATTTTTGTTTGGTATTTCTCATCTACGTAGCTCAATATGGGAAAATGGGTCATGATGTTGTAGTAATGTCATATAAATATGATAATCTTAAAGACAAGTAGGAAGATTAATTACACAATAAGATCACCATAACTAAAGTAAAATATTAGTGCCTAAATATGTATAGTTTTAGATATAGTAGGGAACCATCTGAAAAGTGTTAAATGTGGAGTTAGGAACGTATGAGGGTGTCAATGATTTATTTGGTAGAGTAGAAATGTGATATTAAGGTAAATGATGAGTAAATGCGGGTATGGATGATATAGCAGTTTAAGAGGCATATAGAATGAGTGAGAATTGGCATAGGGAACCACATGTAGAGAACAAATGTTGTACGCAGAACTTTTGGAGTTAGTTAATTCTCTCCATCTATTGAATTGGAAGGAATGGGATCTTTATTTTTGGTAAATAACTATTAAAATTGTTGATTACCCATAAAAGTACATGTCAGTAATGTGTATCAATAAAAGTAAACATTTCTCTGTGTGTTGTGAAGTACGAATGAGGTTTTTCTACATCAAAAAATTTGATTGTATTTTATTTAAATTGATAATGGATTTCAATTTTCAATCAACTATACTGTAAATTTTATATATTAATATATTATTTTTCAATAGTATTTTGTGTTCCATAGAAAACTAAATTAAACATATAATATGGAAATATTTTATGAATAAACATTTATGATGCAGTAAAGAAAAATTATAAAAGTAGTGTGAAGAATAATGTGCAAGGCTCAATATTAATAGCCCCATTTCACCCGACATAACATGTTGTGTGGCTTGTGTCTTCAATGTATCAATGACTTGGAGACGAGACTTTTCATCGCAATGATGTCGTAGTATTTTAGATAATGAATTTTTGGATATTGTCACATGTATGGTCTTTGGGGTTATATTGGCACACCATGCATATGTCGCGACCCTGTCCTATCTTTTGATGAGGGTGTAGAACCAATTTCTAACACAAGATTTGTAGAAGATTATAATTTTTCATCCCTGCTTCTTCACCTAGTTTCTAACTGAAGATTTGTAGAAGATTACAATATTTTGTATATCCATTTTGTATTCTATTAAGGTTTTTTTGTAACCACCATTAATTTATTAATATACAAATATCCATCTCTCTTTGCAGATATACACAATCTCACCGATTGCAAAACTATATAAAATCGTGTCTTTTGTGTTATTATATTTATTTCACATCCTAGGTTATTTGAATTTAGTTTTTGGGTTTACAATTGTTTATAGGAAGAAGTGTTTGACATTTTTTGATGCACTTTGTATTGGTTAGATTAATATATTTTGATAGTTGTGGGTTAACGTTTGGATCCATCACGAATCCACAATAGTGTTGTTCCATTTAATGTTGCTACTATGGTGTTATATTATAATGGGTGATCACTCTATTGTGTCATGGTTCTGTCTTGTTTGGTTTAATCCAAATATCCCCCACCCTTCATGTGCCTTTTGTTCCCCTCATATTGGCTCCAATACTCACCTTATCTTTGATTGTCATCCTAGACAATTTCGCACTACATTAAAAACCAAGGCCAAACCGCTGCATAATCCAAATATTGGGACCTTATACCCATCAAGCATGCACACATGAAAATCCATTTCGTCTACTACTTCTAGGCTTGTGCATGTAGGAGCTGTCTACTTCGATTGAGAAGATACATATATGGGTTTTAAAATAAGGCAAGAAAGACTAAGATCTAGTCTACATTATCTTCGATGCATAAGATCCAGATTCATGAGACCAAAGTTAAAGATGCCAAAAAGTATTTTCAAGGTGCGGAAGTATGGAAGGTACCTAGGATCATGAGGACCACCCACTAATGAGAATATACTGAAGATCAAGACTTGCAAGGTAAGATGTTTGTACTTATAGATGTTAAGTTAACTCTATCATGTTCAAATCTCATTAGTTTTGTTAGTGTATTATGATTTCTGTTAAGGGTGTGCTCTTAGGGCATACCCTAGCAATAGTTTTGCTTCATAATGAGTGATGATCCAAGAGTACTATACAAAAATAATAGCTATAATAATGTTAACTATCAAGAGAGTATGGTCACAACTATCAAAATAATGGGGTCACAACTACCAAGAGAAAGTAACAAATAAAGAAAAGTAAGAATTACCTTTCTTCCAAAAAACCTCTCCTTCAATTCTTTTATGTGGTCTTTGACTAGAGGGGTTTCAAGAGCACGGATAAACCGATTGGAATCTTGCCCGATAGGGAACTGTTATTCCACCAAATAAACAACCCACATTAGAGAAAATGACTATGACTTAAACTAGAATTTTATATATATGAATTTTTTTAATCTACTTTTTCTTTACCGTTCAAAAAATATATATAAAACAACACAAGGTATGAGTCAAATAAGATCAATTTATGAGTACAATTGTAAGGCGAATGTTTACATTACAAAACTCAATTTAAACTCACCGCAGCAACACGTGTAAGCCTCCCTTCATCCTCTATCCCATCAAGTGTACCCTCCACTCCTAGGATATGAGTACAAGCACTCACGAAGTGTCTTGCATAGTCATAAGTTTGGAAACTGGACAACAAATGACACGTGATGTGATCACCTTGATTAATGCTTCTACTAAAAGCACAATGGTATTGGCATTATCGAATAATTACAGCACTAAGCAAATTACAAACATACCCGACCAAATCAGCAGCAAGAACTGCACGCAGAAGCTCAGAGCGAGAAGGCAATGTTCTGTGAATTTCAGAAGATGGGAATGGTGTATGAAGGAACCATACAACTTTCATGTTGCTGTTATACTCTTTCAGGTACTTGGGAAGGAACATAAGATGGTAATTATGGCACCAAACAGCATCACCTTCTTCATAATGAAAAGTCACCACATCAGCAAACATTTGATTTGCTCTCTTGTATCCGTCAAACTGGGACTGGAAAGTTCCGGATGTAGCCAGACGATCTTCTTGGGGAAGACCAAGATAATGAAAAAGAGGCCATAATATGTTCTTGCAATAACCATTATAATATTGATGAACAGTTTCCTCATCGAGAAAGACTGGTATGCACCTCTGTATCAATATACACAACTAATCATTTTAACCAATCATTTTGTTATGTAGACTTCAATAAGGTTTGAACTTCGGAACTCAGTACCTTCTGGGCCAGTGCTTTCGTTAGTGACCTCTGCCCAAGTTCATCTGGCACATTTACACCTACCCATCCAATCCATTTCACAACAACATCCTTCACGCCTTCAATAATTGTAACATTGAACCAAATTTTACATTTCAATAATAAAATAAAAAAAAAAAAAAAAAAACTGTGTTTATGGAGGGTAAAAGAAGAAGCAAATTTTAATTACTTACCCAAAAGAGCACTAACATATTCGTCATGACTAACCTCCAGTGACCAACTCTCTTCTCCTGTCCTAACAGCAGACACTGGAAGTCTATTAGCAACGACTAATAACCGTTCTGTAAACAGCCCTTCATCAGGCTTTTCCCATTCATCACGTGCAGAAGAGCCTCCTTTGAGATATTCTTCCATATAGTCATCACCTTCCCTTAAGTGTGGTTCAAGATCAATAGCTTCATTAGAATAGGAAGCTTTGTTCTTCGTTCTTAACTCTCTTTCCCTCATGAGCCTCTCTATTCTACTCATTGGTGCTGATGAATTGCTATTGTAATTATCCCCCAAAATTTGTAAGTGGTATATATTAGTATCTTATTTATATGGTCAACTATACTGTTAATCATAGTTAGTGCATGACTTAGTCCTTTTAGTTAGTTAACTCAAGTTGTTAGGCGTATGATAGTGTATACAGCGTATTCTTACCTCTTGTATATATTCTTTTCAATATTCAACACAACATAACAAAATCTTTCCTAAATCTTTTCTTTCTATTACAATATGGTAGCAGAGAAAATTTTCATTTGAAGATCTTGATATGTTCTTCATTCCTTTTCGATTTGATAATCCATAATGTCTCTTTCTGTTATAATAAGTGGAAATCATAATATCACTTGAACATAGTCATAGAGTTAACACAAATTCTTCCCAGTTCCCGTCCCTTAGTAAATGTATAAAACCAAAGGCACACACAAACATATACAACAAGAATAATAATGAAACCCATATGTTATTGTAGAAATGGGGTCCTCCCACACATAGACATGTCAGTGTAGAAATGGGGTCCTCCCACTTTGCCATACTGTTTTCATTCAAGATTCCATAACCCGCGTTTCTAGTTGAGCAAAACATAACTTTCATACCTACAAAAGTTAGAAAAGACAACAAATCAAAAGAAAACATCCATAGTAAAACAAAAAGTCAGAAATGTATAGAACTTTTACAAGAAAAGACATTGCCGGAACACGACGAGCATACTTTCAGGAAATGAAGAAAGACAATTCAGAAAACATTAAAATATAACTTGATTTTTTATTACTTATCTTGTGTAAATTAATAATAAAAAATGATAAATCAGAAAGTTACAATATAAATTTTATCACCATTGGACAAAATTTTAGCCGGTTAGCAAAGAAAACATTAATTGGTATTAATGGGTCTTTACAACTATTTGTTTGTAGGTTCAATGCATCTATTGAAAATAATATGTGAAAACGAATCTTAACTTCTCGGAATGTGCTGATTGCTAAGTAGTTTGTAATTGTTTAATTTTAAATGTTGTTACACAGTATAACATATGGAATATTTTGAAAAAGGAGCCCAATTAACTTAATATTAAACAAAATAACTTCTTTTTTGTATTTTTGAAATGACATATAAGTCTGAAATGTAGGCGTGAACAAAGTCGAACCCATAAACCGATAAAATTTGACAAAACCAAAATGGAAAAACGGAAAACGAAGCATAAACCGACAGTTTGAGTTTAAATTTTTTGAAAAACGAAATTTCCGGTTTGATTCAGTTTTTGGATTTGGTAAAACCGAAATAAACCAAACCAATTATATATATATATATATATATATATATATATATATATATATATATATATTATATATCTATATATTATATATATATATATATATATATATATATATATATATATATATATATGTTTTACAAATTAATAACAAAAGCAACAATTGGTGCATGCGGTTAGCGCGTTGGCACCTTGATGCGGTTAGCGCGTTGGCACCTTGAAGTCAAGGTCTCAGGTTCAGAACACAACATATATTCTCTTCTTGATTTATTTTTCCAGACAAATTCAATATTATAACTTGGTTTAGTGGTTAAGGTGTTGGCTCTTTGAAGCCTAGGTCTCTTAGGTTCAATTATCGCTTCTTACTTACCCTTTGTTTTATTTTCTTAGCTCAGAAGTCCATCCAACATCGCTACACTCTTTAAAACTCCGCCACACTCATATTGTAACACTCGGTTCCAATGTATTTCTTATTGTGACCCTTGATATTAAATTAGTTTGCAAATTTGATCACAAGGGGGTGAAAGTGAAACTTTTGGGGAGGGGCGTGTGCGTTGAGCGTACTTCTATACGCGGGACGTACGTTGTCCGGGGACAAACCCTGATTTTTAGGGTTTGGACCCTATTTACGCATCATTATGGACTCAAGACCTTTCCCCTCATCAGCCTCCTTCCCTCTAAAGATATCCCACGAAACCCTAGCCATCCTTGATGTATTCTTGAGCTTTTTGTTGAGTTTTGGTGTTCTTCTGGTGCATATGAAGAAGGAGAGACTTGGTGGTGGTGCATTATTGGAGTTGGAGCTTCAAGATCCAGAGCTATCTTCTTCATTGCAAGCTTCTAGAGGTAAAAAGTTCTTATCTTGATGGTTCCATTGTTAAGATCTCATTTGTGGGTAGATTTAGGAGCTTTTGGTCCCATGACCTTGGTTCTTATGAGTATGGGCTACTCCAGAACTTTAGGGTGGCATTTCTTATTAGATCTGAGGTCCTTGAAGTATCAAAATCAAATCTTGGTGGTTTTGATTCAACCATACATGAGTTGTTGGCCTTTGTAAGGAGTTTTGGACCTAGGGTTTGGTATTGGGTCCTTTTGGGCCATGCAAGTTAGTAAAGTTTCCAACTTTATGGATTAAGACAATGTTAAGAAGTAGATCGGAAGTTTGTACGTTAAGGTATTAAGCAATTAAGACTTTTGCGTAAGGATTTGGGCTCTGGCTGGTACGTCAGGCGTACTTCTTAGTATGTTGTGCGTACTGGGTATGAGTCCCGATGGAATTCCTTGGAGTACGCAGGGCGTATAGGTCAGGTATGCATGGCGTGCTACCTGTTGTGGGCCTAAGACATGTTTTTGGCCATTTTGAGGGTTTGGGCTTTGATTGAATGGGTTTAACTTTGAGAGTTAAAATAGTCTTTTACCCTAAGAGCCGGGATTATGGATTTGGGCTCTCGGTTATGGTTTATGGCCTAATTATTAATTAGGGTATTATTTGATTATATTTAGTGCAGAGATTTTCCAGATCAGCAGTCCGAGCATTTATCTGATTTTTCAGCAGTTTGAGGTAAGTCTCCTCCCAGTGTTTGGAGGGTCGAAAGCATCAATGTCGGCCCATGGATTATGGTTATTAGTATGCTAGCTGTTTACGTGACTCTTGCATGTTTTGTATGTGTTTGTATGTATACCGGGCGGGACCCGATGCCAAGCAAGGCCTGATGAGTGTGTTAGGTGGGGCCCATCGAATGTTACTGGCAGATCTGTTCCGGGCGAGAGTCAATGTTGGGTGGGGCCCGATGGTTTTCGGGCAAGGCCCATTGTATGTATGATATTTGGTATTTTGGAGAACTCACTAAGCTTTGTGCCTACCGTTTTCAGTTTATGTTTCAGGTACTTCCGGATCGGAGGTGAAGAGCTCGGGATGATCCCATCGTACATACCATGACTTTCCGCTTTATTGACTCTGATGTATTTTGGATGATTATGAAAACCTTATGATTTCCTTATGGTTTTTATAAACACGTTTGTGTTGGATTAAGTGCCTAAGCCCATAACTATAACTGATATATACTTGAATTAATAGTAGCACAGTCCTTTTGGGTTGCCCTTATAACTAGCAACTAGACAGGATGACTTTTGGAGAGAGGTTTAATTTATTATTTGATTAATAAATTGAAATAAATGATTTATTAATGTATTATGGAAATAATATATTAATTAGAAATCATATTATTTAATTAATAATTAATCGGAAATTAATTGGAATTAATTTGGGATTAATTGACTTAATTAAAAGTGCAGAGGCTGTTGGGCAACTTATTGTTAGTTGAGGAAAGAGGCTCTAGAACCTCCCTAGAAAGGGTTGGATGAAAACTTCTAGAAAGGCCCTAGAATTTTCGTCCAAGGGCTCCTAGATGGGGATTCTTGGGTTGCTTGGTCCTTAAGCTAAGGAATTAGGGTTTCCTCCTAAAACTCTAGCTTTGGCTCTAAGCTAACTCACTATATAAGGAGCCTTACCGATCATCTAAAACCCTAGAAGGATAGCCAAAAATTCCTAGCCTCCTCCTCCTCTCTCCCCGCTCATCTTCTTGCTTAGTTTGGGTGTGATCTACTAGAGGCATGACACTTGTGACGCTTGCTCTCAAGGTTGAAGAAGACTTGGATTTTCATTGTTATTGCAACACACGAAATCTAAAAGGCCAATTAAGGAAAGAAAAACCCCAAATCAAAAAGGCAACTCGTCGAGTCCTAGGAGGAGAACTCGACGAGTAGGAATAGATTTGGGACGCGGGTTGGGAAACCTACTCGACGAGTTGGTCTGGGTTTGGGAAACCCTAAATCCGAGTTTTTGTACCCTATTTAAGCATCCTTTTCCCCACCTTTCAGCCTCATTTCCAGCCCCCATTGTCCAAACCCTAGATCTCGAACCCTAATGCTATAGTGAGCCATTTTTAATGTTCTTGTGAGTATTGAAGCTTGGGAAGGAAAGAGAAGCTTGGGGGAATCAAGAAGAAGCTAGTAGATCCAGAAACACCTTGTCTTTCTCATCATTTTTGGGTAAGAAAGTCTTCACCTTGCTCAAGGAATACTTAGATCTTCTTAGCACCTTTTCTAGTGGGTTTTGGTCCAAGAAGCTTGACTCTTGGGATTTGGACGTCCCAAGTGTACATCTTTCCAAATCTAGAGCCATGGAGGGCTTTCATGGCATAAAGGTGCAAACTTCATGGCCATTAAAGCCCCATGCAAGCTATAGGTGGTTATTTTGGCCTTTTAAGCTCCAAAAGGTCATGCATGAAGGAAAAAGGTGGAAGCTTTACGTGTTTTGTAGTATCTAGAGTCCAAATCTCAGTTTATATGCCTTGGTTTAGAGTATTAATGATGTTTGGATCAAGATCTAAGTCTTAAAGGAATAGGGTTTAAGCTTAACCCATTATGTAAGGCTATTAACGGGTAAAGCTGGAAACTTTACCCTTAAAAGGACATTTTAAGTGCATAGGAGAAGTGTGAAGCTTAGATCTGAAGGGTAGGGGCTTAATCCATTAAGAAGGCCCAAACTGACTGAAGAACTCGGCGGGTCCATGGAGGGACTCGACGAGTTGAGTTAGTTTGTCCTGATTCTATACAGGAGGAACTCGACGGGTCTGTGAAGGGACTCGACGAGCTGATTCGTGTTTTAACGACTATGAGTAGCAAGGGAACTCGGCGAGTCAGGGGGATGGCTCGATGAGTTGAGTCAACTCGGAGCATTGACTT